GTGAACCATGCCAATAAGCCTCCGAGACCCAGGACAATAACATTGGCTCCCTGGAGAATCTCGCTCCGCCAGTAACCAAATGGTATGGCCGGATTTATCGGAATGGAGATGATCAGCGGCCTTATTCTCTCGCCGTTTAAACCTCGGGTTTTGGTATTAGCCTATATTCTATATGGCGACCAACGGAGAAAGCTGGAATTCCGTGTCCGCGAATCCACCTCTTTCCTCTAAGTTTCTGCCCAGGCCATAGATCGATCAGCTAGCTTGCCCTTGTCTCTCGATCCTCCACATTGTTGACTTCTCGATATTGAGGACCACAGATGAATGACTTTTTCATCACACCTGTCTACTAAGGTGAAAAGATATTCATGGGCCTAATCACACCAGCTATCTAGTGCATTGTCAAAATGCCAAGCAGGTAGGTTAGCACTAAGAGCGGGGATTACGCATTTTTTTTCCACGTTCCTGCATGAAGGATCATATAGCGGCATTTTCTGTCACTACTCCGTAGACATGGATACTCCAACTCCGCATCATACTATCAACAACAACACGCTATAAACACCAATCCGGCTTCATGCACGATTCGGTGGACTTCCGCTTAAGGGGTGATAATTGCCAAGTGTAGTTGGCAATGATCCATATTCAGCTTGCACGATATCGTCTAGACTCTCCAGAAGGCGCCAACCACCCTGTATCTACGGGTCACGACTCAGACTTCTGACTCGTACTTAAGCGACACTTCCAAGCGAGTCCGGTGCAAGTGTCAAAGTACACTGCTCGGAATGGTTACGTGCAGAATCTGAAACGACGAAGATGTCTCCCTGTCCCGCCTCATGGCTTGTGGTTCGTGCAAAGGCACGAGCATGCAGAATTTAGTGGGAGATGACTAACAAAACCGGATGGATGCATGACAATAATGGGAACTATTATTGACGCCTTAGCAATTCGCATCAATTTTTTTTTTTCCTTTTGCGGCTTCTCCATTCCCCTTCACGGCAACGGTACCTGAACTAGAGAATTGGAACCACGGAACCGCTATTGCACTAACCTAATAATATCGGATTATTCATGCAGGTACCCCGGTACACAGGAACTGCCTGAGGGTGGGACGTTTATCCGCTAATAGCAGATCGGTGTGCCTGTAGCCGCAGAAATGGCAAACTCAATCATATCAGACTGGCAAACTCCTAGTCCTTATTAGGCTGGCTTAAACCGAGGCCGAGCTAGAGATGAGGGAAAAAAAGGAGTATGACTGATCAGATGAGAAGCTAGGTTCTTCAACTCAACATTTGGTGAGCGCTACTACTGGAGAGAACTGACGTGTACCTTGATAGTAGTTCTCCAAGGAATCAAGCTAAAAAGTACTAAAAGTCTTGTTTACAGTCGGTTCATGCGACGCCCTTTCACCGGGTGTCTCTATACGAGATGGAGACGTTCTATTTTTGCTCGATAAGAGACTAGACGCTTTCTAAGATCTATCTATCTAGGATGACTCGTGCTTCAGCTGTTTATAGACAGCACCTAGCAGCTAAAACTGGCCAACCTCTGGGGTATTCTCATGTCGGTCGACCTTCTCAAACGTCCTAAGGCCATAGGCTGTCTCAGAATTGGGGGTCTCGTCCTCAAACCTTAGCTCGACTCGGGGATATCACCGTATTCGGAACAGCGTGCTCGGTCTCGCACATAGTTTGGTGCTATTGGAACGTGCTTCGCACACTGGTCTTAAGGTGTTTCGGGGAATAAGGTTTGAGCGGGCAAATCAGAAGTTTCAGCATTGAATCAAGGCTGCAGCCAGCATGGACGCCGGGGCCATCTCGACGTCCTCATTACGAGCGGGCGCATCGTTCTGCTCTCCCCTTTGTTGCGGCACATCGAGGACTCGATCCCGACCTATCACAGCAGTCTGGACACGGAAACCTTCACAAAGGGGTCGAGGCGTGTTTGTGAAACAGCCGAAGAACAAGAGGAAGGCGAAGGATTGACAGAAAGTTCCTCATGGAAAGAAACAAGACTACAACCCCTCTTCCGGTAAGCATTACTGGGGTTAGGATACGCTCGACAGCCAATCCATGTCGAATCAGGGCGGCGTGTTCTGGGCGCGCACGGGACATAAAGGGATCTGACTGGGAGTGGTGTCAGGCGTGGCTAGTACTGCCACTCATGGCTCTCAGGCAGGCCTAGCGACGTCCTCTGCCCCTGCCCTTGCCCTTTGTCGTGCGGCGCGGGCCTTGAATGGCGGCCACGTCACGCTTGCTCAGGTTCAAAGCACCACCCGCAAATTTTCCGATAGAAGCACCTCCGACACCGCGCTCCCGACGCTTGGTGCTGGCTGGGTTTGATTTCGGTGCGGGCTTCTCGAGAATGATACCGTTCTCCTTGGCTTCGCGTCGACGCCTATCTTCCTTCATTTCCGCCTTCTCCTTGATGCCTCTTCTGTGCGCTGTGGGCATTTTCTGCTTATACAGAGACGCCTTTGCCCCCAGTTCCTGCATTCTCAGATCGAGAGCCTTGATTCGGTTTTTACCGGTTGGCGCAAGTTCGTTCGCTGACTCGAGCAGATGAGACTCTTTGAGAAGCCGTTGCAAGGCGAGATCATTCTTCAAGTTATCCGCATCCATGGCGTCCTCCTCGTCATCATCGCTCTTTTCCTTCTTGGCCTTCTTTTTCGCCGGCTTCGGTTCTTCGGAATACGAGGGTGGTTTCGAGGTCTAGTAAAGACGAATTAGCAAAGAACCCATAACAGCACACGCATATCTCGTAGACATACCATGAATGCCTTGCGCGCCTTCTTATCCAATAAATCCTGACTTTTGATATCGCGATGCTCAACCACCTCAACCGGAGCCTCGTCTTCCTCTCCGGAAAGACCATCCCAATCAGAGCCCGATTCAGATCCCTCCTCAAAGTCCTCATCTTCACTGTCTTCTTCATCCGACTCATCACCACGAGTCACCTGGCCCCCAGGCACCTCCAACGGTTGGAATTGTGCCTCAAAGAATTTGCGAAAAACATCCGTAGCAGACGCATCAGTCGTCTCGGTCTGTGGTGTCGTCTTCTTTTCCTCCTCATCCACCTTCGTAGTCCTAGAGACAACAGCAGCGTCTCTCTTGCGCTTTCCGACCATCTTCAATTCCTTGTGCTGCTGCTGCTGCTGCTATAAACCAAACAATGAAAAATGCTGAACGACACAAACCACTTGTCCCGGCGGAAAAAAATAATGCGCGCGATAAGTGACGACTTTGCCGTAAAACCAGCTGCTTATGTAATACACTCCATACTGTATAATTTCCCATCACGTGTAGATAAGATAACCCGCGCAACCCCTCGTCGGATTTCCACAAAACCGTGGGGGGGAATAGATAGAGTCATCCATTCATTCACATCAATACTGATCAAACACACGAATTGAGTGACTTGTGGTGGACACGTCAGAGGATATTTCCATCAAAATGACCAAATTCCGTCCCTGCATTGATTTACACTCCGGCCAGGTGAAGCAGATAGTAGGCGGAACGTTGAGCAGTGTTGCGGCGGACCTGAAGACGAATTATGTGTCGAAGTTGCCGGCCAGTCACTATGCGGAATTGTATAGGAAGAATGATTTGAGAGGTGGACATGTTGTTATGCTTGGTCCGGGCAATGATGAGGCTGCTAAGGAGGCGTTGAGGACTTGGCCTGCTGGGTTGCAGGTTGCGGGGGGGATTACGGATCAGAATGCGAAATATTGGGTTGAGATGGGGGCGGAGAAGGTTGGTTTTCTTTATTTCTTTCTGTTGGGTTTTGGGGTTGGGTTTTTTGCTGTGGGTGGATGGATGGGTTGGATGGATTGGGGGTAGGGTGTGCTGGGGTGTTGGATGTTTCTTTGGTTTGGGGGTAGATGGCTAATGTTGCAATTGCAGGTTATCATCACATCGTACCTCTTCCCGGAGGGCAAGTTCTCTCTTGAACGGCTGCAGTCTGTTCTTGCTGCGCTGGATGGTGATAGGTCTAAGCTGGTCTTGGACCTGAGCTGCAGGAAGAAGGGCAACACGTGGTTTGTGGCTATGAATCGCTGGCAGACGATTACTGAGATGGAGATTACGCAAGGTAAGCATGAATTCTTGGCATTGATTGATGGTTATGTTGTTATGGCTTTTTTGCTTTCTCTATTCCTTTCCTCTAATGACAGCCATTGTATGAATACAACTAACGAAAGCAGAATCAATTGCGCTCTTGGAGCCCTACTGTTCCGAGTTCCTCATTCACGCCGCAGATGTCGAGGGTCTGCAACAGGGTGTTGACGAGGAACTCGTGTCTAAGCTGTCCCAGTGGTGTACTATCCCTGTCACCTATGCCGGAGGTGCTCGGAATCTTCAGGATCTGGAGAAGGTTCACGTCAGCAGTCAAGGGAAGGTGGATTTGACGATTGGAAGTGCGTTGGATATCTTTGGTGGATCTGGAGTAACGTTTGATGAGTGTATAGAATGGAACAAGACGCATTAGGGTGTGGTTGTTGGATTAAAGAGGGTTGGTTGTGGGTGAAAATAGACATGAGACATGGCAGATGATGTATATATATTTCAGTTAAGAACATGATTGAGGACATGAATGAAACCAGTACTACTATTTCTAACATACCTCGCATATTCAAAGAACAACATCTCACAGTATCTAAAATACCCCCTTACTCTATACTATAAGTTGAAAGACCCAATCCCCTGACGGGACAAAGTATAACCATCAAGTGCAACACCATGACGCGGACAACAAGTCTCGACACACAACCGCCCGCCCCAAAACAGCTTAGCGCCAACACACCGGAGGTCTCCACCGGCACCTGCGATCCTCGACATCATCCAACGACATCAACGGCCTCATCCCCTCCTCTCAACGGCAGCCTGGACAGGCAATCTGAAACTTCCATCACTCTTTTATCTGTGTCAGCGACCAATACATCCATCCCATCGCTAGTCCGCAAATCTCATCGCATCTCATCGGATAGCGGGTATCACCATCAACCACCCGAGCCGCGCCAGCCAGCCACTCCCTCTCTCACCACCCCGAAGTTGCTCCAGACATATCACACCAGTTCATACAAGATGAAGCCCGTCGTCTCCGCTCTAAACGCATGGTCCTGGTACGTCCACAAAACACCCACCCAGCACGACTCCCGAACCAGACCAGCTAGCTAATACAAGGGACATTGAATGAAATAGCGTGGTCATCTCCGTCTTCGCCATCGTTATTCTCTCCGTTTTGGGTTCGCTATACAAGGTGCGTTATATACCACATCAATATTCTATCTATCGCCTAAAAAGAAAAGGAGTATTCTGACAGAAGGGTCATGGAATAGAGCGAACACCCCGGTTTCACTGGCTCCGAAGGCGAACCTGAAGATGGCGCCGCGGTCGCAGCTTCGATTTTCACCGCCGTGTTGGTTTATATTGTACGTGTTTATCCCTGAATTTCCATGTATATGGATTGGAGTGGTGGTAGATATGAGGAGAAAGACTGGGAGAGAAAGATTGGATATGCTAACCTATTGATGACTGGTATATAGGCTTTCTTCGTGTTCTGCGCTTTCCAGGCTTACTTGCACATGAGGGCCCGGAGGGGCGGGGCTATATCGTTGAGTTAAATGGTGTTTAACATTGCTTTGCGATTTTGAGTTTTGTTTGGAAGAGGTGGATTGCTGGCTTTATCGTGCTGGAGGGGGAAGAAGAGTATCGATGCAGATGCGGATGGATCATCGAGAGATGTACAACTTATCCCACTGGAGGGCATACTTTCCTTGGATGTAAGAGAAAGAGAAAGGAAAGGAAAGGAATGACGATATTGTCTGCGTGTGCTGTGCTACGTATGACAATCTGATCGTGGGAGGCTCACTCCATCCTCGCTTGCTTATCATAAAGCCGGAATGGTATTGGATTGATTATCATTAGCTTCTTCCGTTGTGATGTGATGTGATCTTTGGATTGATTGATCTTTTTTGCGCCGTTCTATTTTTTCTGGTGTATTTTGCGGGTTGTATATGTATATAGTCTTTGTTCGAATAGAACTTGTGTTTCCGCAAATATGATCAATCCTTCATCATCATCCATCATAATATTTCACTGTTGGTTTATTAATAGACGAATAGTAGCAGCGAGTGGAGTACTATCTGTAACAGAAAGGCTCCAGTAACAACCAATACACATATGACATGTATTCATTCATCCTCATAAAGATAGTAATAGTAGTGGTAGGCAAGCAAATCGGCTCAAGCGCCATATGTACAATGCAAGTTTCTCTAATCCCGCCCATTTTTGGTATATACCGATTTCGCTACTGCTCCCCTGAATAACAGAGTAAATGGAGAACCAACCCGTGCAACGCCGCATGCAGTTAACCTAAGGACTTTTGTGTTTCGAGTATCGTTTGTTGATGTTGTTGCAATACCGCGCATCATTCATATTCATAAACGGTTTGTTTTCTCTGGTAGTTCTTAAAACTCCTCGTCTTCAATCGGGTCGAGCATCTTGGACATGTACGGTCCATCAAGAGTGTATCCCAGACGAGCGTAGTAACTGCGCACACCGACACCAGAGATAACACTGATCTTCGTGCTGCCGTGCTCCTCGCGAGCGATGCGCTCTGCTTCTTCCATGAGCAGGGTTCCGAATCCACGGTGCTGGAATTTGCGCGGGTCACGTCCGTGGAGAGGGACGGCAGATCCGTACACGTGCAGCTCGCGCACGATACTGGTCTGCTGACCGGTAAACTCGGGCCGGAAGGTGTGGGTTGGGCTGCACTTGCGCAGACGCAGCAGACCGATCAGGATGTCTTGCTTGGGGTCCTCGTAGGCGAGGAATGTCTCCCAGCCTCCGTTGGCCGTGTAGTCACGGCGGATCAGCTCGACTTGGGATGGGCGGATCTTGTTCTTGACTTCGTTGATACCGACTTCACGGGTACGTACGTCGCGGCAGGTGGTGCCAAAGTCCTTCATGCGTGCCAAGGCCAGTTCGCGCAGGTTGCCGTTCTCGACACCCGAGGTCACCAGGGGCATGGGGATATCACGCTGGACTCGGTAGATACGTGTCCACGGGGGCACCAGAGCGAGAATGCGGGCAACCAAGTCGATAAGGGCGTTTGGTGTGTAGTTCTTGTAACGACCAGTCCTCCATAGCTCATAGAGACCGGTTCCACGAATGACCAGCGTGGGGTAGATCTTCAGACCATCCGTTCGGAAAGCCGGGTTTTCGAAGTACTCCTGGAACTGGAACAGGTCACGTTCCATGCCCACGTTGGGCAGATCCGGCATCATATGACTGACGACCTTGAAGCCGGCATCCTTGGCGAGCTTGAATGTTTCTGCGACGGCCGCAACAGTGTGACCTCTGTTTGTGTCTCTGGCGACATCCTCATACAGACTCTGGACACCGATCTCCAATCTGGTACATCCGTAGCGGAGCATACTGCTCAAATGCTGGTCGAGACAGTAGTCCGGTCTTGTTTCGATCGTGATACCCACGCACTTCACGTTACTCATCTCACCAGCCTGTACTGCTTCGTCGACATTGTCCGTCTGGTATCCACTGAGCGCGTTGTGCAGCTGAGCCACGAACGACTCACGGTAGTCCTCCGGCAGAGACATGAATGTTCCACCCATGATGATGTACTCCACCTTATCCACGCTGTGACCCAGAGACTTGATCTGGTCCACACGTCCTCGGGCCTGCTCAAACGGATCGTAACGGGCGCGGATCGCACGCATCGACGTCGGCTCATATCCGGTATATGACTGTGTAGAGTACTCAAAGTCGGAATCAGGGCCACCAGGGCAGTAGACGCAGATGTTTCCGGTGTAGGCGATATGCGGACAACGATGGGGTTTGCTCATGACCGCGACAACCGCGATACCGGACGACGTTCCTAGCAGGGACTGTTAAAATTGCTAAGTGCAGGGAAAACAAGTCGCAGACATACTGATGGGCTTCGCAATCAACTTGGGAAGGATATATTTCTTATAGTGCTCAGGGACAGCCGCGATAATGGCTGTCAATGGGGGTTGTGTAGCCAGGGCATGCTTTTTGGCGACTTGACCCCGCAGTTTGTTGAGGTTGATATCTCTCTTAAGCTTCTTGGGATCGCGTTGCGCTTCATATTCTTGAATGAGGGCATTCGCAATATCGGAGCAAGCTCTCATAAAACGTTCATTCTCCGGGGGAAGTTTGGCATTTTTCTTAGACTTGGGAAGTGGCGGCATAGTCATTGTAGCGGTCGCCATCTTGAAGGAGGTGAAATGCACACCACGCGAACTGCGCGACGGGCGAAGAAAAGGAGATAAGCAGAAAAATCAATCAATCAACCAAATCAGTAAAGATACAAAATCTAGATCTGGATCTTGAATAGCCACTACCGAAAAAAGAAGCGTAGAGCTAAGATAATGTGGGGGAGATGCGGCGGAACAGCACAACGGCAACAGGAAAAAAAGAGCAGCGAGGCCGAGGGAGGCAACCGACCGCCCGTGACAACTCGGATCCGCTTAAAGCTTTGTCCCGAAATTCCCCAAAGCGAATCTGTCCGGCGCGTTTGAAACGGCTACTCTTCTCTCTCTTCTCTATCTCAACCACAACCTCTCTCTTGCACCTTCGTAGTGCTTCACTTTCACACCTCTCCCCTCTTTCCGATCTCCCCTTACCGGGTTTCTTCCCCTCCCCATCAACCATGCAGGCCGTCCGCCGTAACACCGTCGCTGCCCTTCGCAATGCTGCTGCCACGCAGCGCCGGGCATACTCTGCCTCGGCCAGCCCGGCTTATGCTGAGACTGTGAACAACCTTCGCATTAACGGAGAGACCAAGGTCATCTTCCAGGGTTTCACTGGAAAGCAGGGAACGTACGTCTTTTTTTGCCCGATCCGCCGGGAACGCTGTTTATCATGCATGAGTTGCTGACGTTGCTATTTTTCGTCTTTCCGCAGTTTCCACGCTGAGCAAGCTATCGCCTATGGTATTATCTCCTCCTACGTCTGCACCAATTAGATAGGTGTCTCCGGCGGTTTCACATGGGAAACTCACAACTTGCTAGGCACCAAGGTCGTTGGTGGAACCAACCCGAAGAAGGCCGGCTCGATGCACCTTGACCGTCCCGTCTTCGCCAACGTGAGCGAGGCCGTTAAGGAGACTGGAGCTACCGCTACTGCGCTCTTCGTCCCGTATGCTTCCGGCGTCCTAATCGAGAATAGAAGGAACCTTTGCTAATGCTTGAGTCTAGCCCCCCCTTGGCCGCTAAGGGTATTGAGGAGGCCATCGAGGCCGAAATTCCTCTGGCTGTCTGGTAGGCAAACTCTCCTCGATGACGATAGAAGAGCTTAGCATGTGCTAACGACCGGGATAGTATCACCGAGGGTATCCCTCAGCACGGTATGTTTATTAGCCATGGCGTAGCGCCGACGATCTCTGCATGTTGGGTGTAGGACTGACCAACAATCAACCAGACATGGTTCGTATCACCGATATCCTGAAGACGCAGAACAAGACCCGTCTGGTGGGTCCTAACTGCCCTGGTATCATCGCTCCTGTAAGTCGCATCCAAATATCCACTTGGCGATCCTTCTGGACAGGGGTCAAGATGCTAATGATGAAATTTTCGGATGTGTAGGGCCAGTGCAAGATTGGTATCATGCCTGGATTCATTCACAAGCGTGGCCGTGTCGGTATCGTCTCCCGGTCCGGTACCCTGACCTACGAGGCCGTCAACCAGACCACCCAGGCTGGTCTTGGTCAGTCCCTGGTCGTCGGTATCGGTGGTGACCCCTTCTCCGGCACCAACTTCATCGACTGCCTGAAGATCTTCCTCGAGGACCCGGAGACCGACGGTATCATCATGATTGGTGAGATCGGTGGTAGTGCCGAGGAGGATGCCGCCGAGTTCCTCAAGGCCAACAACAAGTACAACAAGCCCGCCGTTGGATTCATCGCCGGCATTAGCGCTCCCCCGGGCCGTCGTATGGGTCACGCCGGAGCCATCGTCAGCGGCGGCAAGGGTGGCGCTGACTCTAAGATCTCCGCTCTTGAGGCGGCTGGTGTTGTTGTCGAGCGCAGCCCCGCTTCCCTGGGCAAGGCGCTGCTGAACGAATTCGTCAAGAGGGATCTGGTCTAGACGAATTGATAACAGTCTACACGCAGGCGGAGACATTCCCTTGAACCCTGCCGGTTCCTGGGCGAAACCTACCACTCTTATTCGCCCAGTATGGGCGGGGGTTTTGACTTCTTCCCCTCCCCTCCATCTCTCTATCATTAGACGACTCCCTTTCGATGTCCGAGCCATGGCGGCCACACTGTACTTTTTGTCTCTTATATCTGGTCTCATTTTCTCTTTTTTCTCGTCGATATATCTCCTATGTTTAGAGATGCAAGGAAGTAATTAGGTTCACTTGTAAATTTGGTCTGAATTTCTTTCTTGCTTTGAAACTGATGTTGTAGTCGTAAGTCATGATCTACACCGTAGTTACTGATTGCAACCCACGGGACTCCGTGTAGCAGAATCCTACAAAGTAGATTAATCTAGATGGAGTCTGGTACTACCCAGCACGGCAGGGTCCAAACTCAATTAAATGGAGTTGAGTGAGTGCCAACGTGCAAGGCCCGCTTGGAAGCCTAGTCTAGTTAGTAGCTGAAGGATGGTTGCCTGAAGACTACAGTACCTAGACCTGACTAAACTAGACCACACCCGGCAAACTTTCTCACCAAGCACATACTTGCAACTAAACCGAATGGATTCGGCATATCGGACATACCCGGAATCCTCCCCAGCCAGCATGGCCGAAGTAAAAAGATAGTCCATGTTTCGGGAATGTTGGGGCTTGGCACCGGGCCGGGAACAAGAAGACCAACTTGACTTGATGAATATCCGATGGAATCAGATCATTTGCCGCTTCAAGCAGCCGTGGCAGACAATCACTTCCATCATCATCATAATGAATCATTATTCGAGTACCACAATAATAAAATAATAAAATAATAAAATAATAATAATAATAATACTGATAATAATAATAATATACTTTGACTAGAAAGCAAACAAGTAAGTAGGCTGTGTACATTACCTACTTTGACTTTTGTGTGAAATCTAGTTCTGACCCTGTAAGGCCAATCAATCACATTTCTTCGTTGTTATCGTTCAAAGTTATTGGGATTGGGATTATGCAATCGTGCATGGATGTCTGTAGTCCTGGTCTAGACTACTGTTACTACTGTGTACATACGTACTTTGGTTAGCTAGTTAGTTAGTTAGCCGCGGCTTAGGGTCATTCATATCCCGGTATACTATACTATCCTATGCTATACTATTGTCCCTCAATTAAATTAATAACTATGCATCCATCGTTCTTAGCTACCATCTTAGTTGCTTTAGTTTTTCGGCCCAATCCAACGATGTGTGGCTTAGAAAGCTGAAACATCCCGTGTGTCCTAACTGCTCTGTCTGCATGCCGGTCTGTCCGTCGGCTTCCCGATGTTGCATTCATTCTCTGTTGATGGCTTTCGGGTTGTGGGGGTGACCCTGGTTTTAGGAATCGAGGTGGCTGAATTCATTTACTTGGTGGTATGTAGTGGTAGTGGTGTCTAGTGGTGAGTACTATGAAGAGGGGGGTGTGCTTAACTTTCAATGATATACTTATACTAGTTAATGCTGAAGAAGAAATATCTCCATTTTATTGAAGGTTAATAACACAGGACTGATATAGATTGATAAGTTTGATGATATGGTATAAATAGATAATACTTTCGTGTAACACTCCTCCCTCAACCCCCTCCCTTCCATATTCGATTCTATAGTTGAGAAGGGGAAAAAAAGAAAAGTAGGTGATTTTCCGACTACTAACCTCCCCTCCTCATCCCGACGGGGAGACATCTTACCGAGCAACCAAATCCTTCTATCGGCACCGGCAAGACAGGGATTCTACTCCCGTGTGCATGATTGTATTGCGTACTACTTCGAAAGCGAAGCGAACAGAAGAAAAGCGAAGAGGGGAGGAGGGGGAAGAGGCAAACGGGAGACCTTAGCAAAAAGGTTGGTGAATAAATTAATTGCCCCTCCTTTCGGGCTGCAGCCAAGACTTATAGGTGCAGGATTAGTGAAGAGTCATTAGGTAGTTTACTACTGTGTGCTTCGCTTACTGTGTGACAGGGGTCTTTATCTATCTATCTCTTTCTTTTTATTCAGTTATCTGTGTTTGATTTTCACTCTGTGAGTGGTTACAAACGGGCATATGGAAGTTTTGGAAGGATGATGGATGGATGGATGAGGGAGGGAGGGGGATGTCTCAGATATCGGCACGTCAAAGTACTGCTTGATGAGAATGATAGGCAGAGAATGTGTGAGAGGAGAAAGGTGTGTCTGCCAGGTCCCATGTGAAGAATACATATACGCTATACCGAGTATGTTAATTGATCTGATCTGCTGCTGCTGCTGCTGCTCGAGCTCTGAAGATAAGAATGACGACGATGACAGAGGTGTTGTACGTGCGCAAACCTTGCGGGTACTAACTACTACTAGTATTAAAAATAGATGAAGTGCATATGTATGTATATATTACTTTTGTGTCGTCGTTGGAATAAATTAATTGTAATTGTAGTAGTGGTAGCAGTGGTAGTGCTAGTTTAGGTCTGTCAAGCTGCTACTGTAGACGTATACTAGTTATCTACAGTAGATAGCTAACTAGCTAGCTAGTAGTTGTGATGATTAGCGTATAGTGATAATGATGTGACGACATCCTACTGTGTACTAACTAGCAAATGCACAGGTATGTCATGACTGATAATCACCGATTGCAGCCTAACCAACAGTCGATACCTCCTGCAGTATGGCAGACAGACAGACAGACAGACAAACAAAGAGATAGATAGATAGACAGGTCGAGAACAAGCGACACACTGCAAGATTTCTTCTCATTCTCTCGTGTTGTCTTGGCTGCATACCCGAGCCTTGGAAGACAATCCCAACCAATTCCCGATTTTAGATAGTTGTTCTTCTTTCTTGGGCTTTTTCTTGGCCTCAGGCCAAGATTCTTGGTCGTGTCGGAAGATAGTAGTAGCACACTAAAACTGAAAAAAGAGTACTAACACAACAGATCGGTACTATCCACTGTATGTGTGGTAGAACCAGAACCGGTTGTGTAAGTATGTAGCGAGGCATGCATGCATACATGCATACATACTTCGCTCGGGCTGTGCAATATGACTGGTTCTCGGGTTTGGCCACAAACGGAGAGAGGGAGGGGAGCGGGATAATTACAGTAAGTTAGTAAATTAGTTAATTAGTTGAACCTCGCTAAGGGAGAGAGAGAGTGTGTGAGTGTGTGAGAGAGTTGACAAGGGGCAAAAAAAAGGTTTTAATATATATCTTTTTGCTTCTTCTTCTTCTTCTTTCTACTTCATTTCTTTTTTTCTGTTATCTGCAGGTCCTGACAGGTACTAAATATGTAAGTGCATAATGACGGATTACCTACCTATCTACCAGTATAAGTAGTACTAGATGTAGAGTTTCTAGGCAAAGAAAGAAATGTAACGGAAGATACCGGATCGAATTTGAGTTGGTTTGAACAAGGGCCGCGCCGTGATAACAATAACCTAGTTAGTTCTAGTCTATTATCCCAATTATATTATTTATTTTCTCTTTTTTATTTAATTCAATTATAGTTTTCGAATCTTATTTTATTATTTTCTTCAGTTGTCGGCTCGCATCTTGTCTAGATCCCGATCTGGTCCAGAAGGTACTTACTTTCACAGCAGTAATAGTGGTAGTGGTGGTGGCATTGAATACGAAGAGGCAGTCAATAAAATAACTTACACTGCATGATTCATAAATTCTACGAAAGATGGAAAGGATAGATGGATATATCTTCACCGTCTCAACACAACAACACATAATCCAACACAAATCCACACAACAAAACACAACACACACCACCTCAAACATCAGCCATCCGAACCACCTCTGCCAAGACAAGAAACAAGAAGACAGGACCGGACCAGCCCCAAACACAAAAATCTAAACAGTTTCTACTCCCGTACGCCTCCCGATTGACCGCCCGTCTCAAGTGGCGGCCGCCGGCGTAGATCATCGCCTCCACTTTGCAGGGAACTTTAACCAGTCGGAATTGGTGATTCGGGTAGAGAGAGAGGGGGGGGAGGTCTGAGTCTGAGCCTGAAGTAAATAGTAGATAAATAAATAATAATCGTCGTGAAATTACTACTGTTAATACTACTAGTTGGAGAAATATCTCTGCTGAGCCACCCACTAGTCTATATTTCATCGTAGTTAGTTTCTAGTATAGATACTCCGTAGATATTAATCCTTTTATTTTGTTGTCTTCAAGTTGGTTAAGTGATATAGTAGTGATGCCCAAATAAATAATATTAGAATAATAATGAAGATAAGAATATTTCAGTTTAATTATGATAATCCGCACACTACTGCCGGATCACTTGGTATACGATGATCATTTAAAAAGAAAAGAGAAAAGAGAAAAGAGAGGGGCCAAAAAAGAAGAGGAAAAAGGGACGTTATGGTGTGCTTGGGACCCCTGATTTGCTTGTTTAGTTCGCGGTTCCGGCGCTAGTGCAGGACGACGCAGTGAGGATGGATTTGAAGGAATGGGTAGTTATGGGTAGTTTTAGTGCTGATTTAGTAGTAGTGTTTTAACCTTCTTATCAGGGAAGAATTAGGGTGTGCTCTTGGCACAAGTTCCCTTTTTTGTTGTTGTGATCCTTGGCATAAGTAATTGTTGTCGTCGCTTAGGAAAAAAAAAGGGAGAGAGAGAGAGGAGAATATTCGGTGAAATATGTAGTAACTCGTTCGGTTACATAGTAAGCATGACTGATGGCAGAATAAATTGTTCCGTTGTCGTTGTTATCTATCGAATTTGATTTTCGGGGGGTTGATTTACTGCGACTAGTGAGGTTAGCTCTTCAGCACAGTTGCTGTCGACAGTTAGTAGTACCGTTAGTAGTAGATAGTAGTAGTAGAACGGAGTCCCACGGAGGAAGAAGGAGAAAAGTTGGTGGAGATCCAGTTCAAGGTCTCATCTTGCTCCATCCGCGATCTACGTCGTCAACCACACTATTGCGATCAATCAGTCTCAGACCCTCTTGCTCTGCGTGTTCCGACACTCCATACACCTCCCTAGAGTCCCTACACTATCCGTTTTCGTGATTTACATGCATTGGTGCCTCATATCCTCACGGCATCTTCGTCATCACTTTCTATTATTATGCATCTCACCCTGTTGATTTCCCCCCATCCTGTATTTTCTTTGCTTCACTTCTACTGCCATCCTGTTTGTGTATCTACTCCTTTTCCACCCTATCCACCACCCCTATTGGCAAGTTCTATTTGTCTCATATTTAAGCTTACCATCTGTTACGTAGACCTCCCGCACTGACCCGATCAGGTGCTCATTGGCTGTGGAGTTGTGGTTGGCGATTCTCCCGTGGGAGAGCTCCCTCAAGGTGTCTTGGTATAGCTTCACTCCACCCCCAATGCCGCAATCTGCAGCCACGGTGGAACCAGCCCAGCGAGGCTGGCCAGCTTGTCAGGAATCCATCCCAAGAAAACTCGTTGTCTGGGCGTCGCACTCGATTTTTTTGGTCCTCGCCTCCCATGCAATCATCCTCCCACACACCCACCCCCTTCTTAGTGCGTATGGGCCTGATGTAGATCCCCGAGATCCATAGCAACCCACTACACCTGAGCAGTTCGCCAATCAGGCTGATCTCAGATTGCTCATACTGGCGCGCGTGCGTGCTCCCTGTTTCCTACAACTACTCCTTCTAAAGGGGGGGGATAGGGACCCTGGCGCCCTGAGTCGTCAATTGATGACTTGCCTTGCCGTCTCGCGTTGCATCGGGCCTCTCCGTGTTGATCACGCTTAGCTTCTGCGTGGGAGACAGCCTTCTCCGTCAACACATGTGGGAGATGTTGGCTGAGAAGAGTCGACGGCCTATCTACTCCATACCATGTAGCCCAACGCTCCGCCACGGCGCCACTGAATAGCCTGCTCAGCTCCCTTATCACGGGCTCCGCTTCCATCTAGACCCTTGCGCATGACAGGCGTGCCCGGTCCTTCACACACACCATTCGCTGGAAATCTGTATGCTAAGTTGACTAAATCCGTCAGCTCTCGAGGTGCAGGCGCTAGTCGTAGTCCAGGATGGCCTGGAAAGCATGCTCGTTCTGGAATTTCATCACCACGCCGGGCCCACGTCATGTATGCAGATCTTGGTAGCTCCGCCCTTTCGCCCTTTTTAATTTTTTTTTTGGTTTCTGTTTCTTCGTCGGCTGCCCGACGGCTTGGACTCTCTCGGATGTGACCTAGACTACTAGTCGCCAAGTAAGACCGGCCGAAGAGATACTCCTAAACCCACGTCTCCGTTCATACCTTGGCGATAACACCGGCTCTTGCCACCCACATTTACCCTCTTTAGGAAGGTCATGGATGATGGATAGCCCCCCGTCCGTCCAAGATGCTCCGCAGTGGAGCAATCCTGCATCTGCTTTTTAATCGAGTTTTCGAAGATGTTTTGGCCCAGTGCCAGATCAATTCCAAAACTCCGAAACATAAAGTGCATTGGCCTCGCACTTCCGGGCTTGCAATCTCAGCTTTGATATTCCTCCCCAAGGTGGTTCACAGATTGCCAACGTGCTTCGAGGCTGGCCCCGAGTCATATCAACAATCATGTCTTCAACCACATCTTCATCAAGATCAGACCTTGAAAAGGTCCCTGTACCACAGGTCACCCCTAGAGACAATGACTCCGACAAGGAATCTCTCTCTCCGGAGCCCTCGACTCTCGAGGCTCAGTCATCCGAGAAGCCACCGCATCATATCTTCACACGGTCTCGCAAGCTGCAAATGGTTTGCATCGTCTCCCTCGCCGCCATATTCTCTCCGCTTTCGTCGAACATTTACTTCCCTGCCCTGGATGATGTCTCAAAAGTGAGTACCTCGGTTCCATGGCTTCCTGGACCTGGCATATTGACCGTACCATGATAGTCCCTCAACATCAGCATGTCGCTCGCAACTCTCACCATCACCGTGTACATGATCGTCCAAGGCCTCGCCCCTAGCTTCTGGGGTTCGATGTCAGACGCCACGGGTAGACGGCCTGTTTTCATTGGAACATTCGTCGTTTACCTCGTAGCCAACATCGCTCTCGCCGAATCCAAGAACTATGGTGAGCTCATGGCCTTCCGAGCATTGCAGGCTGCTGGTAGCGCGGCCACCATCTCAATCGGTAAGAGTAACCTCACAGCCTATCATAGCATCTTGCTAACCATGATTAGGAGCCGGAGTGATTGGGGATATCACAAACTCGGAAGAAAGAGGTAGCTTGGTTGGTATCTTCGGTGGAGGTAAGAACACCCCCTTTGCTTGCGGGATGGTTAAGCTGACAGAATCAAGTTCGCATGCTTGGACAAGGAATCGGGCCGGTTTTCGGCGGCATCTTCACTCAATATCTCGGATATCGATCTATCTTTTGGTTCCTCACGATTGCCGGGGGCGTGAGTCTCCTGTCCATTCTGGTGCTCCTTCCGGAGACATTGAGGCCAATTGCTGGAAATGGAACTGTGAAGCTCAATGGCATCCATAAACCCTTCATCTACTCGATCACCGGCCAGAAGGGGGTTGTCGAGGGAGCGCAACCGGAAGCGAAGAAGACCCAAAGCAGCTGGAAATCGGTTTTCGCTCCTTTGACATTCCTCGTCGAAAAGGACGTTTTCATCACTCTGTTCTTTGGAAGTATTGTATACACAGTGTGGAGTATGGTGACATCCAGTACCACGGACCTCTTCAGCGAAGTGTACGGCCTGTCATCCCTGGATATTGGACTTACTTTCCTGGGCAATGGTAAGTAATATGATCGTCTCCGAAACTCGGTCTGAATAATCGCTCATGCACTGGCAGGCTTTGGATGCATGTCTGGCTCTTATCTGGTCGGCTATCTCATGGATTACAACCACCGCCTTACCGAACGCGAATATTGCGAGAAACACGGCTACCCGGCAGGCACACGTGTCAATCTGAAATCACACCCCGACTTCCCCATTGAGGTTGCCCGGATGCGCAATACCTGGTGGGTGATTGCCATCTTCATCGTGACCGTTGCTCTGTATGGTGTGTCTCTGCGGACACACCTGGCGGTTCCTATCATTCTGCAGTACTTCATTGCGTTCTGCTCAACAGGGCTTTTCACCATCAACAGCGCTCTGGTCATTGATCTTTACCCAGGTGCTAGCGCCAGTGCGACAGCAGTGAACAATCTGATGCGGTGCCTGCTTGGAGCTGGCGGTGTGGCTGTCGTGCAGCCTATCCTTGACGCCTTGAAGCCGGATTATACTTTCCTCTTGCTTGCCGGCATTACCCTCGTGATGACTCCGTTGCTGTATGTCGAAGATCGATGGGGCCCTGGCTGGCGACATGCCCGTGAAAGGAGACTCAAGGCCAAAGCCAACGGAAACTAGGGAGGAAAAGGGCTAAAAATGGTGTAGTGGGACTGGTAAAGTAGATGTTGTTTGATTCTTCTCCACACATTCTTGATTCGGGTTTTCTTTTAGCGGCATTTGGCGATACCACTGTTTTGCAAGCAAGCGATACCAGTTAGATTTATAGAAGAATTGATCATTTCCATCGTTTATTTCGCTGTTCTTCTCTCCTAGTTTTGTAGATGCATAGATGGGTGGAGGAGAAAGGATTGGCATTGTGGTTGGAATAGTATGATTCAAGTGGAGATGGAAGTATAAAGTGGAAGTCTGTTGTTTAGTGTTGAGACTAGACTAGACGTGGTCGATGAAGTCACGGGGCTCAGCTTAGATAATCTAAATGCGGCTGAAGTGACCGACTGATGGGTTGTCTAGGTGTGAACACAGGACGGTCAAGCAGAACATATTGCCGCAAAAGAGTATAATAATGGCTTTTATGAGAATCAGAATGTTAGAGTAACCACCCCTAGTTTATGAGCCAATACGCAGCAGTTATAAGGGTACCTATCTCTATCTATTTGGGGGAACACGAGGAGGTCGGGAGTACATACTTGTTAGTTAACTTGTTTGTTTGTGACGAAGAATGTCAGTTAGGTAAGCACCACGTGATGCGTGACCCAAACAAGCGCCCGGTCGTTGCTTGAGGAACCAATTTCTCTGTTTATCCTCCTTCGAACACCACACTTCGACCTTCTGGACACTGTCGCTATGAGCCTTCCATAGCCAGCCTGTTTCAGCTCGACAACCCCTCTTGATGCCTTGACGACAACTCATCAACTTCTAGCTCCGTTGGTTCACGTTCTTGCTGTCCTTCTTGCGGTGTGGACCTCGTGCGGTCGAGGGTGGCTCCGTGAAGGATCAAAACAGACGCTATTGCCCGTGGTTACCGATCGTCTCTCACCCAGCAACAAGGAAACCCAGACAGACACTGCACAGCGTAGCAGATCCTAAAAGAGAAAGAGATGCCTCCTGAGATGGGTAAGAAGCTGCCTTCCTTCCTGCAGGCGACGTGTCTGCTTCCATCTGACCTTCTCCGCACCTGGAGACCTTGATTGCCTTCCCTCCTCATCTGCTGTACGTTGGACTGCTGGCTAACTTGCAGGAACCGCAGCCCGCGCGGCCTCCCAATCATCGAGTGCTGCTTCCCAAGCAACCCAGATTGTAGCAACTCACTGTCGCCCCGGGACGGCTGATCTCATGAGATCACGCTCCGAAACCGTAGTATCCCGAAACAGTCGACGCCCGCGGTCCAGAGGCTCGACGGCTAGCATCCACTCCAACACGACCCAGCAGACCCAGGACCAACAGCTTGCCGATGGCTTTTCCCAGTTCCTACCCACCCAAGCCACTGCTAGTCACAATGTTTTCGGCGGTAACCCGGAGGATATCATCATGCGATTTGGCCAACAGTTGTCGCACCCGGTGAACGGAGCGTCCCTCGACCCGACCATGCAGGATCCTCACCATGCTGTGATGCCCAGGGCAGAGGAATTTCCCAGCCATGCAATGCATGGTCACCATATGTCACATCACTCCATCCCTTCTGGTCTACCAAGCCATGGATTGGCGGGCGTGCCGATGCCCCAATACACAGCCATGTATGACAGTGGGATTGAGAACCATGTGCCTGAACATGTACTGGAAGACAATGATATCTCCGAAGCTGGCGCGAAGAAGAAGAAGGGGTCGAGCTCGTCGCTAGCCAACGATAACGAATTGCGCAAACTGCTCCGGCAATATGAGGGATATTCGCTGAAGCAAATGGCAGCCGAGGTCTTGAAGCATGAAGGGGCTGGAGGCAAGGCCGAGAAAGTCAAACAAGTCTTTGCGATGATTTGGTAAGACTTCGTTATTGCAGTTCTATGCATGGTAATAGTTTGCTCACAACAGTCTAGGCTGAAGGAAAACTGCCGCAAGAGCAGCGGTTCAGTGCGCCGTGATCGCGTGTACTGCTGCTATGCAGAGAAGTGTGGAACAGAACGAGTGTCAGTTCTGAACCCTGCTTCCTTTGGCAAGCTTGTGCGCATTATCTTCCCAAATGTGCAGACTAGAAGACTTGGTGTTCGGGGCGAATCGAAGTATCACTATGTGGACCTCACTGTCATTGAGGAGAAGCAGCAGAAGCCACCACCCCTCAATCCACAGTTGCCATCAAACACGAACAGCGCAGCAAATGTCACTGAAAGCAAAGTTGATGACATGATGCAGAAGAGGTGCGTCACGTGATGGACTCATTCACGGATTCAAGTACTTACATAGATCACAGTGTTAGTGTTGCGCCACAGCCTCCTGCAGATACTGCTGTATTCCCTTCGCCTACGACATCTTTTGCACCAAAGTTCACTGCCACCCCATCTACTTCGGGATGTGACTGCCAATCTTCATCCGAGTCTCACACTGGTTCATCCATCAGACTAGACAGTATGGCAAGCACATCAGGAAAGTTGATACACCAAATGCTTCACCTACCGTCTTCCGACTCTCCCCCAATGGACAACGAATCTCTGCAGCTTCCTGATATCAGTGACTATCTACCAGCCAATACTGATTCGAAGATTGCTGCGGCTCTGGCGGCTCTCTACCGTTCACACTGCATCTCCGTCATCGACAGTTTCAGATACTGCAAGGAAAGAAACATGCTACGTTATTTCTCTGCCTTCCATGGAACTTTGACCGTACCAGTCCAGAAACTCTTAACCCACCCAAATCTTGCTCCGTGGATCAAGGAATGTGACTGGATAATGTACCAGAAAATGATCGCTTTCGTTGCGCCACTTACTACGCAGGTCGTTCCCAAGCTCGTGTTGGATGCTTTCAGCTCCATCTCTCAGAAACTTACAGCCCATATTGCCGATACATTCAAGTCTCAGCCACTGCATGTATCGGAGGCAAGATTAATCCCGGCTCATATCTTCTGCAACCTTCTGAAGCACATGCTCGATGTGAATCAATCTGCAAACGCGGCTGCGGCTTGGTTGTGCCATCCCGACAACAGAAATCAGATGTGGTTCGACTTCAAAACCTTGGTGGATCCTCAGGAGATGATCGTGAAGGCGAATATCCCACGCTGTTCCGAACTTGCAACAGCACTGGTATTGAAGCATGATGTTCGGGCTTTGCTTACTCCTGTTGCGGACATGAATCCTTCTGCTGCCCTCCCGTTCTACACCCGGCCAGATACCGACGAAGACATCCAGGCACACAAGTACCCCGTGGAGTCGGCTGCGGGAGATGACTACAACTTTCCAGACAAGTGGATATCATTCATCCTCAACCTACCTTCTGTCTTCCCCCATCACAGTACGCAGTGTATCATCGAGAAAGTCGATGCTTTATGGGATTGCATACTACGGCGGTTGACTCTAGGTGGCGCCCAGAGTTTCAGCGCCTGGTGGATGACCAAGGTTTTCTTCCATGAAATGATGCTATGGCAGGCCGAAAAAGGAGGATTTATGCGTTACACCCCAAGCACCTTGCACTACGCAACCCTGAGCTCCAACCAGCAGGGGCCAACCAACTTCCTCATGAAACCGTCTAACTGCCCAGTGCCGGACAAGAATGAGTCCCAACACGCCACTCATTCGAGGACAAGGTCGGCTGCCAGTCCAACATCAGCGGAGAGTCTTACGCAAACGCAGACACCAATGCATCGCTCGCAGATGGAAGCTGAATCAAATCAGAACACAATGGAAACCGAGAAGCCTAGCAGTGTTTCCGAAAGCATCACTGGTTTCCAGGCCCCCAACAATGATGATAGCGCCATTGACCTTGACGATGATTCGATGCTGATGACCGTTGGTAAATATGGTGATATGATGGTCTCTGACCCAGCGGATGCTGAGGGAGATGTCGTCGTCATATAATTTACCTTCACATAACCATTTGAATTTCGTTCTTGGAAAGAGAAAAACCTGTTTTCTTTGCTTATGGGCGGAGTTGGATCCTTTTTCCCGGAGTACTATTTGGCTTGATCACTATTTACGTCTATTTCAGAGGAAAGCTCGGCGTTCGACGATCTTTGCACGAGAGACGAGAAATGACAGCATCGATTCGAGATACGTTGACCTGCAGCAATGCTGTCTGTGCAGGTTGACGATCGTACAAATCTAATAGCGGGTTGATCCTGCTAATTTTTCATATTTTGTTTCACTTCACGCTGTGGCTGCAGATGACCGAGGCCCGTCTTTGTACATATGTTTCGGTCTGCCGACGATTCTCAGGTTATTGTCGTCGGGATGCCATTCTTCCTGGCGCCTCCTTTTCCTACGCTCATTTTAATACCTTTCCCTCGTTTTCATTGTTCTGGCCTGGTTCATTCCAGGAACAGCTAATAACGACAACCAACGTCCATGGAAACCCCCGACTTGCTAATTACCTAGCTGCTTCTGGCTGGCCTACCCGGTCATCCTTTTGCTATGGGACTCGAAATACATGAGTTAATAGCTCTTGGGCCTGGTTTCTCTCGAATCATGAGACCTTGATCTACTCCCGACAGGGTCTTTCATGCCTAATCACACATCCCACCCTTGTCACTCATTCTACATGACGGCTCAGTATACAAGAGCTGATCTCACTTTCCTTCCTTCATACTGTGATTTACTCAACGCGGAAAAGGGCGCAATGCTAGTCTGGGTTTCGTTGGATGATGACTTTGCTTGTATTTTACTTCTGCTGGATTGAGTGATCTTGACCTCCTTCCTGTGTTTTCCTGTTCATGGCCTTTGACGATTGATGTATTGAGTGATAAATAGCCATTTCTTTTTCAAATTTACGATTTCTCAAGTATGATCGCAGGTGTGATAGGAAGATAGATAGTAAGTACATTCTAGGTATTCCATTTGGATGGAATAATTTACTACCTAGTAAATAATATGATGTCCATTTGTCATTCGAGAATTGTCAGATGAGGACATGCAATGGGTCCATGGGTTATGAAGTGATTCAGCATGTAATGTGTGATGAGAGGAGGCATCAACAATGACCATTGATTTCAGGGATGGTAAGTTCGTGTTAGCAGTCGGTTTGAGCACTCGAAAGGAGAAAAAGAGAAAGGTAAGAAAGACACCATGCGATGATAGTCAATCGACGCCATACTCCATAAACACCAAGCATTATGTTCCATTCCGTGCAGTTCCGTTCCGAGCTTTCGCAAAGTGCATTCGTCTAGTTGTGCTGGTTGGCTGTATTATTGTATGCAAGTGAAATCTACAGTAGCAGACCCAGATAAAATTCTGGTATGATTGATTCAGAAGAAGGGAGGAAGAGGGGGAAGAGAAAAAGGAGAAATCCCACTGGTTTGGTTTACCTGAAACTCAAAGCAGGGAAGAATCTGGTCCCGGCGTAGCCGTAGGCGATGATGCTTTGGATGTCTATATTTTTGCCGCTGTGAGGACTCCATAGCTTGACGAGGATATATCGTCCTGAGCTGCATTGGTTGGTTAGAGAATAACGTATACCTATTTAGAAGAGCATCGTGGGAAGGAACGTACGGAGGTGGATCGAATTTGATGCTGACCATGCTTTTATTGCGCTCAATGGAAAAGCGAGCATGTGGTTTCATTAGTTGAGGAGACTCTGAGCCTAGTGTGCCTTCAGGGCGCAGACCTGGTGTTGGCAGGGTTAGGTATGGTCGTCGCCTTGGTTGGCCCTCTCGCTCTGCGACATAGCGGCGACGCATAGCTCGAATTCGACGTGATAGCTCTCGCTGACGTCGTGTGAATGTGCTGACATTTGAATCATCGTCGCTTAGGCTCATCTCACTGTCCGAGCATATTGTGTTGTCCTCGTCCATCCGTCCTATAGGCATACTATCGGTATCCGTAAGGGAAAGCAGGTCGTCATCGTCCATGTAGTCAAGTCGATCATGACGTACGTCGGACTGCGCACTGTACTCAGTTGTGACTCGAAATTCAGACGTGGGGTCTGGCACATTGCTAGCACTAGGTTCTACAGCGCCGGGGTCATCAGTACTATCTGATTCTGAATCCGAGGAGGGGTCAACAACTGGGCCCCGACCTAAACTTTGCAGCGGAGGTCGATATGCATTTAGATACTCCTGGGATGGTTGCATTCCGCCGGGTAAATGCCGCGCGAAGGGCCGAGTTGATTCCCATTGCACTTCGAAAGCAGCTGTACGGGCTAGGACTTCATCACATGACATTGATACGAAAACCATGCCTTCCCGGATCCTTTTGACATTGTCAGTGATAGTCTGAGATAGAGTATCTAGCCCAGCTGAAACGTACGGGGAGTTGTAGCCTGATTTGGGCGCTTTGATTACAATCTTCTTCAGGCAGAACGGGGACTCCCCCTGGTGCTTCAGAACAAGATTGCAGCGATCAGATTTCGTACAGTATACGGAAGCGTCATTGCGAAGAATGTTCTCTGGCCATGAGCTCTCGCCATGCGGCTCATATCTTCCCCCATCGCAGCTAGTTAACTCCATCCTGAGTGCCCCAGGCACCACCTGGCCATATTGACCATAGCGGAAGCCCTGTAGTCCTTCTCTATTATCATCTGTCTCCAGCTTTCGACGTTTGGTCCTTGCACGGTCCAACTGGTGTTCATCTTCTACCTGCTGAGGCATGGCGGTGGGAGAGTCTAAATGAGGGACCGGTGTATCTAGGAGAGAGGAAGTATTGGAATCTCTGGGCCGCCTCAGACGATTAGGTCGGTCGCTACCCCTCCCAGCCCGGGGCCTTGGAGTTCTGCTATCGGAACGTGAGGGATCGGAGGCGCTCTCGTCTGGGTTCGCCGCTGGAACACCCAAAGGCTGCAGTCTTGGTACTCCTGGACGCGGACCCATCGGTGGCCCTGAGCTGTCCGTATTGGCGCGGCTTTGTCTCGTTCGTTCCTGGAGCTGTTGCATGTGTTGGTCGAGGGTTGCTCTGGCTTGCTCAAAGCTAGAACGGTCCCAGAAGCGAGAAGAGCGGTAATCGATTATCTCTTGATTCAAGGTCTCCACAGCACGGGCGAAGGCGAGGTCACCGCGGTTACGCTCCGAGGTTAATAGCTCCCGGAGATGCTGCAAACGATTCAGCGGAGGCTGCTGCTGTTGCTGCTGCTGTTGTCGCTCATTGGTTCGAGCTCCACGAGAAGGACGGCGAGAGGCAGGAGGATAGTCGTAATTTCCCGACTACAGTGGTACATGCTAGTCAATAGCTGCAGCAAAGCGGGGTGGCATGTGGATGCTTAGGCCGTGTAAGGTTTCTATTGGTAGCGGAGGGAAGGCTAGATTCACAAACGTACCATTCTGTGAGAGTGAGTTGTTTCGTGGTCAGTGGGAGTTGGCTCGGAGCACCGGGAGGGAGGCAGTGAGCGAGCGGAAGCGGGAGCGGAGGCCGAGTAACTATACCGCGATTATGAGGAGGCAATGACGAGGGACACGAATGAGAAAAGCAGCTAAGCAGACGAGAGGGAGGCACTAAACTGCCACAGCGGTGACATGAGAAAGGCCCTTCGAACAAAAAAATGAAGGCCGATGAATGGGTGGTAAGAAGGAGGCGAGATGATTGAAATTGGGAGGATGATTGATGAGGGGGTGAAATGATAAGTGATTGATTTGATTTCCCCAAAGCATTGTTCAATGGCCCATGCACGTGATGATGCTGGGGTAAGCTCTCCTTCTGCCTATTACTACTCTCCGCTTCCCTTCTTTCACTCTCTTCATATACAATCACTCGTTCACCTGATTCCGTATCCAGGAAGACCCAGTTGCCGACGGCGAAGATACATGCAAGTCCCACAACTGCTGGCCGATCCGCCTTTATCCGCTACTTTCCATTCGCCGTCTTGCGTCCCATACTTCTTCCCCTCACTCCTCTCCGGCACTCCGACATAGACCAGAAAGAAAGCCTTCGCGAACAGTCGCAATGGAGCCACAGCCCGATACAGCTCAGACTATCAGCGCGGGTAAGAAAGTTATCTCATCTCCGAGAAAATTCTATTATCCAATGGAAACCGACGTTTGACTTGTCCATGGAACGCAATAGACGAGATCGCTCTGTACGATCGCCAGATCCGCCTCTGGGGAGTTAAAGCACAGGAAAAGTGAGCTCTCCCAACTACAATGCTTACCAAACCGATCAAACTGACAGTAACTTCTCTATAGACTCCGATCCGCGAACATCCTCCTCATCACGTTTAAGGCGCTGGCGAACGAAGTTGCGAAGAATCTAGTATTGGCAGGCATTGGCTCCTTGACCATCGTTGATCATGAGGTGGTGACAGAAGAGGACTTGGGCGCGCAGTTCTTCATAAATCAGGAACATTTGGGTCAAAACGTGCGCTGTTCCATTCCTAGCAAGCTTCGTCCATATACTGATCGCAACGCAGCGCGCGCAAGCGGCAGCGCCCTCTGTCCGCGCCATGAACCCGCGTGTTCAGCTTCGCATTGACACAGAAGACATCCATCTCAAACAGCCCGACTTCTTCGCCCAATTCGATATTACCATCGCAACCGAGCTTGACTTTGCTACCTACACCACCATTAATGCGGCCTGTCGCATCGCGAACCGCCCCTTCTATGCCGCCGGACTGCACGGATTCTACGGCTTCATGTTCGCCGATCTAATCTCGCACGATTTCGTCATTGAGCGGACCAAGTCCAATGTCCCATCCGCCACGCAGGAAACCCCGACCCGCAGTATCCTAAACATCACCACAAAGAAAGAGAACGAGAAGGTCATCGAAATGGTGACCAAGCGCGAAGTGTATTCCCCGCTGATTCTCGCCAACACCTCGCCACTTCCTGAGGAGTTCACCCGAATCGCACGCAAGCGCAAACAAGTCACACCTCTCCTCACCTGTCTCCGCGCATTATGGGAATATCAGAAATCATCCGGCGGCGCCCTGCCCACATTCTCCCACCAAGACCTGGAACTCTTCACAAAGCACGCTCGCGACTGTCACCAGGAACTCAAGCTCGACATCACCACCCTTGATGCCGGGTTCCTGCGCACTTTCCTCCAGAACCTGGGAAGTGAACTGAGCCCCGTAGCCGCATGTGTAGGCGGCTATCTCGCCCAGGACGTGATCAACGTCTTGAGCGCACGAGAGCACCCCCTCCAGAACATGCTTCTCTTCGATGGAGAACGCTCCACCGCTCCCATCTACCCCTTACATCCATTCTTCCCTCCAGAAGTTGAGAACGCCGTTCCACCCGTGGTTCCAATTGTCCAAGCTATCCCATTGGATGGCGAGCCAGCCCCAGCACTTTCAATGCCCTCCCGCTAAGTCGTAGGCGGCAGTCTACTCGATGAGGAGTATTGCATCTCGACCTTTCTTTCCTTCTTTCTTTCTCTTCTTCCTTTTTGCATCTCGGCATCCCTACTTGGTGGGAGGGAATCCGCTTACGACGTGTACGATAGATCTGATAACACGATTTCGATATTTTCCGGGGGAATTACTAAAAATAAAGCCATCTAGATTTCTTCTTTCTATTCCACTTGTTGCATAGGTCACTCGCATTTGTGTTAGGAATTGATGAACATTTACACTGATAGAGAAGTATGGACTCAGCTTATAATTCAAGCCTAATCATGCACAAAAATCCCCAAACCAATCCCAATCAATACCCACGCCAGACCCCGTAGCTACAGAGTAGCTAAAATACTACGTAATGCCAGAGATATCTGTATACAATACGAACCCAAAGAAAAAAGAAAAAAAGGAAAAAAAGGAACTAATATATCCGATATCTCAACGATCTTTTTGAAAGAGAAATAGGAAGAAAATGTAAGAAACACCCAATGCACACTCCCTCTACAAGGAATGAAATTAATGCGTCGTAGCTGCCGTCCCATTAGCAACCAAAGGAGAGTTCTCCTCATCTTCAGTCTTCCTTGGGCCCATGGCGTGGGTGTCCTTGGCGTCATCCTCCTCGTCGGAGATAAGGCCTTGGAGTTCGAATTCCTCGGCGTCGCGCAGATGCTGTGCTTCCGAGGGGGAGCGGGCATGGCCGTTCATGAGGCGGCCGTTAGCGGTGGGTCTGTAGCGGGAGGAGCCCTCGCCGGCATCTGCGGCGCTGGAGGAGCGCGAGTGCGAAGGCGCTTGTGCGGATTCGGGCCATGCGTGGACGGCGTAGATGTGGAGGAGTACGTTGACGACTGTGTTGAGTGGGGTTAGTGTCGTTCATTGGTTTGAGGGGAAGGAAGTGGTCTTACAGAGGAAGAGGATAAAGGCGATGCTGTAGAGGATGAGAACATAGGAGACGTGGGTGATTCCTGCATCGTTCAGAAGTTGCATCTGCTCCTCGGTGGCGCCCATGAAGAGGAAACCTGAGGCATATAGAAGCTGCGATATGTTAGAACGACAGTACTCTTCAGCCGGAGGACCGTGAAAGACTTACGAAAGGCGTGAGATATTGGAAGCTGTTAGGGTCAGATCCGTCTGGGCTGACACTGCCCTTGTCGCGAAGCACGAAGGAGATCTCGACGATTCTGGTGAAACCGGCCGCCATCAAGGTGTAGCCAAAGATACTGTGGATCATGGTGCTGATCATCAGAGTCTGCGGGTGGGCAGACATAGCATAACCAGTGAGGAGAATAACAATGGCTGGGATCAAGTTCCGCTTGGGCCGGCCGTTGCGCTTCCGGCTCATCCAGATGCCCAGCAGACCGGCGCACCACCAGACAACACCCATAGTGGTGTGCTGCAAATCATTGTGAACCCAGGGACCTCCCCAGCGGTGTTCCGTGAAGGTGTTGACACATCCCCACGCGGCGATAATCAACGAGTCGAAGAACTCCTGGCTGCGGCCAGTGCGGCGCAGCCAGTATTGGCCAACGAGGAGAAGGATGGTCAGCAGGATACCATAGGCGATGAAAGCGCTGCCCATGATGAAATGGGCCAGACACTGTCCCAAGTGATCATCCCGACAGAATCCCAAGGCGGTGATTCCTCCGAAGAGCATCTGGACCCAGCTCGCCACAGGCATCGCCTTTCCGACCACTCCATGCGCAATCACAATAACCCGGCGAATCCGGCCATGAATTCCCTTGGAAAGGTGCAGCTTGAGATAGACGCCGAGAACGATCTGCACCACCATCATGAGCATCAGTGTGTTCGCAAAGGACGCGTGGACGTTCTTCGAGAACTGGCGGCCTTTGTGAGCATGTCCGAGGAAGTATGCGAGCACAGCGATGATCGTTCCGACAATCTGGAGAGGAACGTGCCAGCGCGAGCGTACAATCTGTGATCGTTAAAGCGGAAATGTCAGATACGGATCTCATGTAATCATGCATTCAGATATCCCCGACCGCGCAAGACCGGAGATAGGATGTAACAGGGCCAGCTTACCCCAAGAACCATGCCCAAGGGGAAAATAATGCCAAAGGCGAACCCCATAAGAATCATATGTATCCATAGTGTTGTGTCCTAGGCGACTAATCAGTATATTGTTGAGACGGCTGCGATCCTGCCATCGCAGACAGGTCAGACGTGGGCGCGACAACATACAATCGGATCCTCGGAGATGGCGGCACCCTCGGGGACACTTTCGTGGCCCCCATGGGCCAGAGCCGGGGAAGCAAGCAGTAGGACTGCTAGCAACCCTTGGGGCCCGAATCGACTCAAAATCGCCATGATCAACTTCACCCTTTTGCGAGGAGAGAAAGAGTGAAGAAGAAGAGGGGAGGGAGGAGGAGAGAGGGAGAGAGAGAGAGAGAGAGAGAGTCAGACGATTGAGGATTGAGGATTATTGATGGAGGCGGAGGCGGGAGTTCGGTTCCCTATTCGGCCTTCGTTATTAAGGGAGCCGCGAAATCGGGCGAAGCGGATTGGTCGCCCAGCGTTGTATGGCCACAATTACTGTAGCAGGCAGTCAGTACTTAGTATACTACTCTACTTACTTACCTACTACAATAAAAGCACTACTAAGTAATTCGTTAGTGATAGTAAACCATTCAGCTCATCGCCATTGCTAATCTATCCTTCTAGAATAACCAACAAGAACGAATCAACCCCGTGGTGAAAGATTTTCATCATCGCTTGACAGTGGATTCGAATTATCTGTGAAACTGCAGATCGGACGGCATAGAAGAGACGGGCCCCATCCAGGCCTACGTACTCACTCTACTTATATCTACAAGAAGTACGCTATTCTCTCCCCACACACCAGGCAGTCAAGGCAGCTAGTCCTCTGGATCATTGCCAAGGCTATTCTGTTACATTGGCTATTCCCTCTGACATAACAGCCCGGTTTCAACTTATGGAGAAGACCATCATGCCACCACCCCAGCAAGCCACATCCTCCACCACTACCCCAGCCAGTGACGACCAGACCCAGAACCAAAGAGACAAGAAGCTGGTAACTATATACCCTCTACTAATAAGCAGCCACATCTAATGAAAAGTAAACAGTCCACTCTCCGCGCATCCATCGTCAGTCTACAATCCCAAATCACAGAAACAGAATCGCAAATAGAACAGACCAAGGCCAAATTGAAGTATGAAACCAAGCACATCCGTAAATTCATAACCAGTCTATTGAAACCACTCACATACATGGTATTCTCATTTATTGACACCAAGTCTAGAAATGACCCATCCACGACGGTCAAACGACACATTCGTCTTCTCCATGAGTACAATGAAATCAAAGACATCGCCCAGGGATTGATGGGTTTGATTGCAGATGCTCGTGGTGTACGACAGGTGGATGTGCAGAGGGAGTATGGGTTGGATGATCGGGACTGATTTTCATTTATGGAGTTTCTTGATGGGGGTTAGCGATTGATGCAGGCGTCCAGGGTACTAGTTGTCGCTTCTTGCGGAGTTCAGGAACGGGTAAACAGGTTTGATCATGGGTTTACGGTTTGGGCGTTTATGAATGGCGAGGGGTTATCCTCCTTATCAATACAGACCGCTACATCAGTAGAATCAGAAGCCATCTGAATATGTTATCAAAATAACTTGAAGCTGTCATGCAATGCTACTACTTTTATATACTCCAGCTGATGACAGAAATGAGAGTTGCCCTCAAATCTAAAGTACAGTCGTGAGATTTTCCATTCTAAGCAAGCAGAATGCCCGCCCACTCCAAGCCGATGAATGCAGCTTAAGAAGTAACGAAGAAAAAGAAACTGAGTGACCACCAGAGCCAACACCAGACATGGCTTTTGAGAAGAGATCATAACACATTACAGGATAAATAGAGATGAGAGATAATCGCAAGTATAAGGGGGGTATAAGCAAAGCAAACAGACAGTAGAGATCTAAACAGGATGCAAAATATTAGTGGCCACCGTCCAGGCTCTGCAAATTAACCAGCTCGTAATAACGGCCTTTTATCCGGATCAACTCTTGGTGAGTTCCGCTTTCAACAATCTTCCCCTGGTCGAAAACATAGATGATATCGGCCTTCTGAATCGTACTCAGACGATGTGCGACGGCGATCGTGGTTCGGCCCTTAGCCGCAGCATCCAATGCAGCTTGGACAACCTTCTCGGACTCGGAATCGAGGGCAGAGGTGGCCTCATCCAGAAGAAGTACTCGGGGATCCCGGATCAAGGCACGTGCGATCGCCACACGCTGCTTCTGACCTCCGGACAGCATGCCTCCTTTGCTACCAACAACGGTGTTGAAACCCTCACTGAAAAGGTTGTTAGTGCCAAATCCTTTCCGGATAGTAAAGGGGTGAACTTACGGCAGGGACATGATAAAGTCATAAATGTTGGCATCCTTGCAAGCCTTCACCAGTTGCTCCTCCGTCACATCTTCTCCACGGACTCCCAACAAAATGTTCTCCTTGATGGTGCCTTGGTACAGGGTGGGTTCCTGGCTGACGAGCGACAAGAAACTGCGGTATGAGTTCACATTGATTTGAGTGATATCCTTTCCATCAATAAGAACCTTTCCAGCGATGGCATCGTAGAAGCGCTCAAGGAGCGCAATTGTCGTACTCTTGCCACATCCACTAGGCCCGACGAGGGCAATGTATTGCCCAGGCTTGACGGTCAGGTTCAGGCCTCGCAGGACAGGCTGCTCGGCCCGGGTAGGGTACCGGAAGTGCACATTCTTGAACTCAATCTCTCCTTCCACAGATTCGAGCTGCTCGCCCTCTTCGGACCATGTGTCAATCTCTGGCTTCCGGTCAAACAGTCTCCGGAACTCAGCTGCAGCGTTCTTCGCCTTGCCCATGTCGGGAGAGAAGGAGAAGACAGTACCAGCGGACTGGGCGCCAAACAGAATTTCGGAGAAGCAGACGAAAAAGCGAAAGACTGAGTATTCGTGATGGCCCAGGAGGGTACCTCCGTACCAGAAGCCGAGTGCAACACAGAAGAAAACAAGAGCCTGCGAGCATGCATAGAGGATAGAAGACTTCAGCACGGATATTAAACTCTTCCGGCCCTGGTCCTCCAGCTGAGAATGGTACATTGCCCAGACATCCTGCTCCCGAGTGAGGGAGGCGACAGTGCGAATAGCAGATGTCGCTTCGCAAGCATAGCTTGCAGAACCCTCATAGGCAGTCTTGGATCGTTGTTGGAATCTGGCAAGCATGTAGAAACGGTAGAAACCACAACCCAGAAGGACAGGGACCACAGAGATACAAACCAGAGCCAGTTTCCACCCGATAGATAGAGAAATGATCATAGCTGCGCCGAGAGTAGTGCTGGTCATGAGAATAGTTCCCAAGGTCGCACCACTGACTCCAGAAAGATGCTTAGTCTCCGTCGAAAGGAATGATGTGAGCGCACCAGTGCTGTTTTCCTCTCGGTCAAAGAAGGTGATATCCTGGCGAAGAATTGACCTGAAGGCCATGCTACGGGCGCGGCGAATCAGTCGCTCTGAGCAGACGGCAAATGCGGCACCATTGATGGAAAGATTGATAAACTGAGCAATTCCGACAACAAAGAACATCAGAGCCCAAAAAGCCCCATCGTGACGGATTTTGGCGGCCTCGCTAGTAGGCAACGAAAGTGTACTGATAGCTTTGGCGTAGAGCACAGCCTGAGTCGGCTGGCCACCACCGGAAAGGACGGCGAAGACCAAGCCAATCAGCATATACTTGAGCTCAGGGCGATTGAAAGAGGCGATAAATTTGACCAAGGTCCAAAGGGAGTACTTCCGAGCCACCTCGGGCTCCCGCTTAGAAAGAATGGCGCTGGAGATGGACTTGTGCGTTCCACTGCGATTCAGTCCATTCCCGGCGAGGGATTTCTCATCCTCATAATCGAGAGAGCCAGACCCACTGCTAGCAGACTTGATGCGCGCAATTTCCTGTTTGGAGAAATCTTCCTCATCCACATCCTCGTCGGCAGCCAGGGCTTCCGCGTCCTTTTCCTCGTTGATACGCTGGGCCTCAACAAGACTGTGGTAGGTACCCTTACGGCTGACAAGCTCGTTGTGGTTTCCTTGCTCTACAATCTTGCCATTCACCATGACAACGATGTTGTGCGCCGTCTTGATAGTAGACAGGCGGTGGGCAATCACGATAGTGGTTCGACCTTCAGCAGCTCGGTCCAGTGCTGCTTGTACGACGCCCTCGGATTTTGTATCCAATGCAGACGTGGCTTCATCGAGGAGAAGAATTTTGGGATCGCTCACGATAGCACGCGCAATGGCGATACGCTGCTTCTGTCCACCGGAAAGCAAAAAGCCGCGCTGACCAACGTTGGTCTCATATCCTTCGGGAAGTGCCGTGATGAAATCATGCGCATTGGCCATTCTAGCCGCATTCTCGATCAGCTCTCGGATCTTTTCCTCGGACTCTTGCTCGAACTTGGTTCCAATGAGACCATAACGGATGTTGTGATAGATTGTAGTGCCGAAGAGAACAGGTTCTTGGCTGACCAGCGAGATTTGCTGACGCAACCAACGAAGGTTGAGAGTCGAGATATCATGGCCGTCCAACAGAACAGAGCCCCCAACGGGGAAATAGAAGCGCTCAACGAGTCCGACAACGGTACTCTTTCCAGAGCCGGACGGGCCCACCAAGGCAGTCGTCTTTCCGGCCGGCATGCTAAGAGAAACACCATCCATGACAGTGACTTCTGGTCGCGAAGGGTAGATGTGCTTGATGTCACGGAACTCAATATTGCCCTCGAAATGCTCAAGCTTCTCACCTTCTTCGGAATAAGGATCCAGGGGCGAGGGGCGGTCAATTGTACCGTAGATCTTGACAGCGGCGGCGACAGCGTTGGTGAATGCCTGAGCGTTAGGGCTGACGTTACCCAGACTGAACGAACCGATCAGGATAGCCATCAACACAGTCAGGACCTGGCCAACATTGACCTCACCGTCTGTGAGGAAGCGGGAACCCATCCAGAAGCCAAGGCCATAGTTGGAGAACATAATACCGAACATGCCACCAATCATGAAACCAAGGGTCACTTGGGTCTTGATACCCCACTTCTCAGCCTCGGCCAAGTGAGTTTCGTATTGCTTTGCGAGCTTGTCCTGAGTTCCGAAAGCAGTTGCATTGCGGATGGAGCTGATAACTTCCTCCGCTACAGTACCACCGGCACCGGCGCTCTGCAGAGCCTGCTTGCTGTTCTTGACAATAAACCGAGATCCACCTCCCATAAGCAGAACCAATGCCACAATGGTCGATGTGCAAATCAGTGCCAGCTTCCAATATTTGATATAAGCGACAATAAAGGCCGTGACAAACGTGGCGATGGCGGTCAAAGTCAGTCCAACCTTTTCTGAGACACCATCTTGGATGAGGTTCGTGTCGGCCGTAATGCGCGTAGTCACTTCACCGGCACCCAGCTTATCGAAGTATCCCATGTTTTGTCTCAAGATCGACTCAAGGTAGTGTTCGCGAATCTTTTGGGTGACATGTTCACCAGTGTAGATGAAGCCGACAGTGGAGATGTATACGGTGACGAACTCTGCAATGCCGAGATAAACAAAATAGAGAACATTTTTCGTTAACTGGTGGTAAAAGTCGTGGTACGAAATCTCATACAAGGCTATGCCTCGGAAAGCCGAGGCCAAGGAACCGAAGAGGATCTAGGTTGAAGTCAGTCCATAAACTCAATTGTTATTGAGCGGCGTCATAGATAGGCACTCACAGTAAAAAGGGGCAGCGCAGCGCCTGCGACAATGGCACAGATTGCGCTCACGAACATAATCGCAAGGTCCATTCGGGAAGCATAGCGAAACAGACCAAAGAAGGAGACATTCACATCATCCGCGTCCAACTGCATCTTCAAGATCTGTTTCTCGTGCTCGGGAAGATGCGCATACAGCGCATCTGAATCATCTGCTCGGGCTAGCTGGTTGCCAGTAGATGGCTGAGACGCTGGGCCCTTTTCTCCTGCAGGAACCATTGTCGTACTGGTGATTGACGACTGGCCGCTTGACTTGCGCTGCTCTGCTGAGGACGGTCTTGCTCGGTCCATTGCTGTCAATTCAACGTCGTTCGGGGATGTCTCCGCCGAGACGTGCTCATTCTCTGGGTGAGACATTTCGTTCGAGGTGTCGAAACGAAAGCCTCACTCTCTGGTATATATGGAGGAGGGTGAGAGACGAAGACAAAAGATCGCTCTACTCCATGAGGCGGGACAGCTGATGGGGAAAGTTGAAGTTGCTTGAAGCAGGAGCTGACCGAATTCCCCCAAAATAACAGACGCGAGGGAGAGGAAGTACGCGCAGGGAAGGGAGCAGGGAGGGGGAGGGGTGTTAGAAGAGAGATAGGATGGCTGGTGCCCTGTTGTGAGATATTCCTCCACACGCGTGGCAGATAGGGATGGAATGATCAACTACAACTTATGTGGTGGAGGGCAAGCCAGACTGGATTGAAAGGGACCCAGGGCAAGATGGGAATTTAAAAATGTGGGAAAAAAGGGGAGGAGGCTCTAATATTAATCATAATTAAAGAAGAATAGGCATCAGACTTGATTCTGGAACCCAAGCTGGCCTTTCAACTTAACTAGAGACAAAAAAGGTATCTGCGTCAGCGACAAGTCCCCATCTTTGCCTTCCAATCTTCTTTTGCTTGATTGAATGGTGGATTACTTTTTTAGTGGCCGTCGCCTTTAGTTCCATTTGCTCGGTCGGAGCCCCGACTTCCCGAGGGCCATTTTATGCATCTCCCCCACTAGTCACCGGACCTCCACCTGCTGATATCCCCGAGATTTTATGCTGAAGCTTATCCAGATGCGGTAGATGGTGGTATTTAAGTACAGTATCTACTGGCCTATTAATATCTCCTTCTGGTAGATGATAGTAAGTCGTTGTTTGGTTGTCGCGGTTCACGAAAGACTACTACTGCAATACTCAACAATAATCTCACAAAGTCTCTGCAGAAGGAAGCTTATCAGATGTCTAATTGGTACAATTTGCAGTACTCTGTTACACTGCAGGTCAATAATAACAAACGATAAGTCCACTCATACATACTATCTCGTACATAAACTACGAAGATCTTACCTACGATCAGCACTCTATGAACCGACCCTCGCTCGAATTTTCAAGAACATCAACAATAATTGTTACCTCATTGCATGGGCTACCGATTCTCCCAGGATAGCAAGTACCTTCGTAGACGGGAGTTATAATAATTGATTCAGTTATTTAGGGGCGAAACTTACTTATGAGTCACAACAGTCATATTCCAGAATTGAACCTTCAATGGATGATGATGATGCTTCGGATCTGGTTCTAGAACCACAGCGCGTAACGTCCTCAGTTTCTCTGCTGAAGGACCAGACAAGAGCCCTACCAATCGTATTACGAATACGACACCAGCTGTGTATGGCTGAAGGGCTCTAGTCTAACCACTAGTAGTAGTAACTGGCGGGGGTCCGACACAACTCCGCTTGGAAAAAAAATCGAACTGAGAGTACGGAGAAGACTAGCCTTAATCTTACCGAAGACCCGCATGGGCTTTTCTGGGTACCGAAGTGAAGGCAAAGTAGTCTACTCCGTCCCTTGTATGGCTATCTATACCTGCTAGGGCACGAATTAGATAGATTTATGGTGTAGGCTGGTAGCATTGTAGGTAGCAACCTTGAGCTACAACTACGCAGGCTGGGGCTGCCATTCATGCTTCGACAGTTAAGCTAGTGGAATCTGAGACTTGAGAGGCCCCAATTTTTTGAACTTTACTCCATACTCAATGAAAATGGATGGACACTTGTGACTTGACATAAGGAATTCAGGGGCGGGTACCTTTTCCTGGTACATTCCAAGACTCCAATGAATATGTGATCTACATCAAAACATGCCGCACCAGATGCCTTTGTTTACTTTCGCCAACAGCAGGCATCTATCTACTAGATACGTATTCTTCATCATCCTGCGATGTTGTCCATTTTAGTGATGTTTCAGGATCCACCGAATAAAGGGCCATGTGGGCGAAAGGATTGCAAGTTTGCGTGTATGTCATCGAGATGGCAGCCTAATTAGCAGTACTGGTTTGGCTCGTGTGTGCCTGAGACAAAGGTTGTTGAAAGGATCTTTGTTGTATTCTGCATAGAAGTCGGCGAGTCGGGGTCTCCGAGCACCGTCGCCCGCTAGATACTTCTTACCGATCGCAGTCGATGCCAGATTAGGCATATCGATACCACAAACTAACCGGCCCTGGTCCTTTGTGCCTTTTTCCATTGGTCCATCTGAAATCCTTGAATGGCCCGTTACCATGGACATATCCACTGCTACATGCTGATAGTATCTTCGCTACCACGTCTACTTCTTGACTCATCTCCCACTATGTCTAGCTTCGTGTTTGGCTACGAGAATTAACCTGTTTGGGTCCCCGACATGCAGCTGTACTCTGTACGGAGTTATCAGTTGTTTTCACCGCTTGTGATTTATTGTTTGGAATATTAAATCTACAGTGTAATTTAGAACATCACGTTGGATTCCCAACATCGGTCAAACTAGGTGATAGAGCACCTATGTACTCCAGTTTGCTATCTGATCAATAACCTGACGGGCTCGTTCTGGTCCGAAAAGAGGATGTTACTTTGTGGTAACGCCCTGACACCTAGCTACCCCAGCAACTGCTCAACTGTACATTGAACATTCCGAGCCCTTTGGATCCCTGAAGCGGCTCGGGACTTGCTAATCCCCGCCAGGTTCAGACACAGGGCCATGCACGCTATGAGGTGCGGTAGATATCCGTCTACGCTAGGCCGGAACATGGGCTCTCCGAACGAATCCCAAGCATTCGTATATAATGTTGATAAGCTCATTTAAGTGACTGGTCGACGGGAGGATGGGCGGCCGACGCCGATGTGAGGCAGAAAACAAAACGCTTTTATTAACAAGTTAACCGTTGTCTATGATGCGTCGAATCGCTAAGGCATGGGCTGCTCCCATCCACAAAGTTTGTGGCTTGAAATGACCGGAGAATATCGGTATGACATCCGATCCATCAATGATACTCCCAGTTGTCAAATCTTGTTTTCTACAGTATGGTCCATGCTCGTGAACTGAGCTCGTGACGCAACTTCCACACCTCATCAATGTAATGGACTCCCATGGTCCCGCGCTGTCTCGCCATCCAAGCGGCCTGTCTGCAATACATTAATGTATTATTCTGCGAGTACTCCGTACAGAGGATGTAACTGTGTAGAAACGCATCTCCGGTAGCCTGAAGACTTTAAACGGCTGGTTTTGGGCTTTTCATGTCTACTAACGAGGGGGTGGTACATTGTTATCGAGCAGCAAACACGCGCTACCGCTCTCCCAAGCGCCGTGATATCCACAGGGACAACTTGAATGGCAGACACCTAACATTGTACTTCAGGTTGCCACACCAATGTTCTCAACTGGAGCGCTGAATATGTGTAGCCACTGGGCGATAGAGCACGTGACTTATAACTTCCCGTTTGGGGTTCAGTCACTCAGGGACAATACCACGATAAGTATTGCTCAGATACTATAGACATTGCAAACTTTGCCAGCTCAGCATAGCACATTAGATCTATCATAATCCTGAATCAGATGCAAACTACAAACATCTTATCCCCGTTCAAATCAAATCTCCCCGACTGGAACCACCAAGAAACCAAAATGATGGGGTACCTTCCGCCTTAGGCATAAATCACATGACCCCACGGAAGCGAAACGCTAAGCCCTGCCCGCACAAAAAAACTACCACTACTGAACGGCTTGACAGACGGTCGACAACCTCATCATCGCCAGTCCATACACTCAGCTCGCCGTCGCGACAAGTCTTCAAGATGCCGGTTAGCAGCCCTCCCTGTCATTCGAACGACCGTGAAACCCTCCATTTTGTGCTGGAAATAAAAAGAATATGAAAACGGCTACACGGAATAGGGAAAAGTGGTCGGGATGATGAAGTTGAACAGCAGGCTAACGATCTACTCTCTTCTTTCAACATAGAGCCACAAGAGTTTCCGCACCAAGCAGAAGCTTGCCAAAGCTCAGAGACAGAACCGTCCTATCCCCCAGTGGATTCGTCTCAGGACCGGTAACACCATCAGGTAAATAAGAAACCGTCACCTGTTCCCAATCTGCACGCAACCCATACAACACATCCCGCGAAGTCCTCGATGAGTCCCAGCGAAGAAAATACAAAGAGCATGGGAAGGAGAGAAACGAATATGAACGAACGAACAAACAAGAGGAGGAATATTCAAGATACGCCAGATGATTCACCATCACACACCAAAACCCTCAATCAACTAGTCGACCGCTGGGAACAACATCAAAGGACACAGCACATCCCACTTTCTAAATCCATACACACAATTCTACTATGAATCAAAATTACCGAATACTAACATATCTCTTTCCCAACCCAGATACAACGCCAAGCGTAGGCACTGGCGCAAGTCCCGTCTCGGAGTCTAAATCCGTCCTTTGGAGGAACCTTCCACACCAACCGACTTTTTCGATTCCGCCCCGAGAAATGTCTCTGTCCACCTGCTGCTACTTTCCCGGGGGAAAATGTTTCGTTCAGTTGCTGTGATACCGCTGCCAACAATGACAACAACAACTCTTGTGTGCCGCTACTGCTCGCGATGATACAAAAAATATAAAGAAACAAAAAATCCACTTGCATCATTATAGATTATGTTGCCTGAAATCAAAACCCGCTTTTTGAGATGCCCGTTTCGATTCTCACATACTCTCTCTATTGTTTTCCTTTTGCTCTTTCTCCCGCTTTAAAACCCCGACAAGTTATTTTAAGCGCGAGGGGAAGGAAGAGTGCATAAGCGGGAAGAGGAGGGGGAGATTACTTTTTCTGTTTGGTTTTTCTTCTTCTTCTATTTTGATGGAGGGGTTTCTCAACCTGGTCTGTGGTGGTGCAGTGGTGCTTCTGCAAGATGTGTGTACACGAGCTGAAAGGAACGACAAAAAATCGAAAATTCATCATGATGGGTTAATGAGCAGTTTGAACGAAGATCTTTTTCCTATGTCTGTATATGATGATATGGTTTGTGTCGCTGTAGTCTTTCCGCGTTGCGTGGATTCGGGGTCTAGATCCTCCCATTGTAGGCTGTATTTCTATAGACACTACAGTAGTAGCAACCCGTCTTGCCTACTGGATATTAACGACTAGTACTACTATGCAAGCTATTACTAGCAGGAGAAGATTACAGTTTTCTCTACCTTTGCACTTGGAACAGGGTAACTTTACAGCAATGATATGCGCAATGGCGTTAACAGCATTAGTTAACCTTGTTACTACTTTAGAGCTACATCTATCCCCTGCTCATAACGAACGAATGGCAAGGACCAAAGGGAAAAGAGATAATGAGAGAGCAAACCGCTGATGTTAGAGAAATTGAGTGAAAAAGTAAAAGACTAGTAACTCCATGAACTGCAACCTGAGACCCAAACGAGACCCGAATTAAAACATCATGACAGCTCATCTTCCTCGGCTTGCTTGCAATCAACAAGCCGTCGGAGTCAGCATACTGATGTCATGAATTAACGCAGATTTAGCGGCTATGGCGAGTATAATGTTAGCATACACTCAGATGGTAAGATAGCGGGTGTTGGGTTTCTGTAAAAGACTTACTCCTCGGCCCACTCGTTCTCACGGCGGATCTGATCCTCCTCCTCGGGGGTGAAGTCGTTCTGGATGTTGAAGGTCTTGCGGATCTCTTCCGGAGACTTGCCCTTGATCATGTTTGCGACAGTCTTGCATCCGACATCCAGAAGACCCTTAATGTCGAGGTAGTTTGCGGCCTGTCGAGTTAAGCGCCAAGTTAGTAGGTGGGCTTTCCTAGAGAGTAGTTCGTCACACGTACCAGAATGATCTCAAACAACATCTCCTGGTCAACCTGGGTAAATTTCTGATCCCACTCGTCGATGTCGGTGGTCTTGCGGCGGGAGTCATCCTCCTCGCCGGTGCTGGGGGGGTCGTTCTTGTGGTGTCTGCACCATTCGATGACCTTCTTCAGAACAGCTTCGTTGACCTGTGTTCCGGTTGTGGTTAGCTATGGCCACCAATGGTCCTTTTATTTCACGGATAACTCACATTAGGGATCGGAATCTCCTCGTTGGCGTCACCCAGATCTTCCAGCATGTTCTTGATGAGGAGGGAGCGCTCGGCAACATCACGTTCTGTATTTTCACAGGTGTTAGCGTATCTGCTCTAATCGTAACACAGACAGCGAGCGCGTCTGCCGGGCTCGAACAACCACGTGCACTTACCACACTCAATGTGCACGCCGTCGCCACTGATGAAGGTCAACATGGGACCGGAGTAAGGAGCAGGTGTGTCAGCCATTTTGTTGAGGTGTATTAGGAAGTGTCTAAAAGATTCAAGTTCTTTGGGTGAAGATGTCAGCTCTCAGCACTGGAGTGAGTTGTGTTGTTGTTGGTTCAAAGACCAGCGACGACGTTGTAGATATGAGGGGTACCTGGGTGGGGGAAGACGTTTGCTTACTTTGCAAATCTAGCCGTGACAGCGGAATGTGAATGAGTTGAAGTGAGTTGGTTGGTGATGGGTGATGGGTGAACAAGCAGAGATATAGAGGAATATAAATATCCCAACCAGCGGTGGGAAAGTGAGGTGGATGAGAAAGAGATACAAAGGTTCAAATCTGGGGGTTGAAAGGGAAGGAGGTTGCTTGGGAGAGTTCCGAGACCGATGAAAGCGAAGAGCGATGAATGGCCCGGCGTTGAGGCTGACGAGGGTCCGGCAGTCTCCTCCGTCATTCGCTGCTGCTGACTCCACCCGGGCGGTTGTGGCCTGGTGCTGCCTGAATAGACGGTCTTTCTTTCTTCTTCCGATTTCCTTTACTTACTTACTCACAAGACAAGCAAATGAAATGAATCAGCAGAGTGAATAACTACTATTACACAGTACTTTGTAATATCAAGGATATTACCTATTATTCTAATTTTTATTTACCTTGCCTAAAGCTTATGCCCATTGTTGCGTAAATGATCTATTGTGTTCATTGATGTGAATGAAGTTGACCAAAGACTATCAACTAACTATACATCATCTGTATAGTACCTTCCACCAAAGTCCAACAAGCAACCGGTAGTTTCTTTGATCAGTCTAGATGATAGCAAGGGGATTCCCTAGATGTCTCGCAGAAGCTGATTGAACACCGTTCATCCTCTGGAAATCATCTAGAATCAAGTGTTTCCCAATGGAGGAAATCCCGACCGCTGCATCAACAACACATACACCACCAGCATTCAACATTCCATCGATCGGTCGCACTAACTCTGGGAGTGCACGGATGCAGAAGTGGAAGGGGAGGTCTCCAGTTGTTGCCAAGTTGGAGAATTCCCATCTGCCTCAATGCTTGGATGTCAAAATTGCCGATAGATCCGTTCCTGAGGATCCTCGATGGGCTGTCTGACCCACCAGCACAAGCCAGGACTTGAACTATCAACGGAGTAATTTCACCCCAAAGGCCAATAGTTCCTGGTAGAAAGAAGTGATATCACCCCCACGAACACAACAACCATCCTTTTCCCATCCACTCGGAGTCTAACGCTTCAACTTCTCGGGGATAACATTTATCTCCAGTACGCTTTGTTTCTCCTGGAATCTTACGTTTTGACCTTCTTTTCTTTTCTTTTCTCTTTTTATTTCTTTTTTCCCTCTTCCCCTCTCCCTCTATCGCTCTATAGTTGCTTTTGCGTCTATTGTTTTTCCCTTTTCCTACTTCTGGATAGCCCGCCCTTCATGTCCCAACAAGTCATTCCTTGATTTCTCTTTCCACGTTCATCTCCATATATATTCTCGGATGCAGAACGGCTACTAGTACTAGGCAACCGGCATGTACAGTATCCCCCAAAATCAGACTGGTCCCTTGTCGCCTTGAGATTCTCCGCGCTTCAATCAATCACCCCCCAATCCCAAGCCATGTGGAGACGAACGTACCTGCTGCTGCTGGTGATCCGGGTGTACTTTGCACTGTCTCCAAGTTATGTACACCCGGATGAGAATTTCCAAGGCCCTGAAGTCTTCGCAGGTGAGTCAATTCCACTGAGTCGCACAAATTATTCTCTATCTCCCTTGCGATCTTGATCTTATTTTTTCCCGGGCGGTGCGACCGCTTGTGACTGGAGATGGCGCTCTTCCGACGCATCCCGCGCATCGAAGCAGCCTTGTCCTCTCCACCGCAAATCCCCAAATCTACTTGGGAACTGAATGCGCATTGCTCACAAATGGTTTCCTAGGTCGCATTTTCTCCTATCCATCCCGCTTACCCTGGGAGTTCACCTCCGATAAGCCGATACGCAGCGTCTTCCCACTATGGCCGACCTACGACGTACCGATGAACTTGCTGAAGGGGTTCTATACAGAAAGCGGGACACTAAACCCTCCGCCAGAGCTGGTTTACTATGTGTTGCGAGGGGTCATGTTTCTCCTGAGCTTTGTGCTCGAGGATTGGGCCGTCTATGAGCTGGTTCCCCTACCGCGCCATCGCCGCGCGACGGTGGTCCTAGTCGCATCCTCGTATGTCACCTGGACATATCAGACGCACACCTTCTCCAACTCCATCGAGACCCTGTTGGTCGCCTGGGGCTTAGTCTTGATTCAGCGCATTGTTGATAACAAGGTAGGTTTATTAGTGCGGAATCCAGATAATGCTAGCTCCTGGCTAATCACTGCTTATAGCGACGCTCGTCCATCTTCGCATGCGCCGTGCTATCTCTCATCGCTGTCGTGGGTGTCTTCAACCGCATCACTTTTCCGGCCTTCCTCCTCGTTCCAGGACTGCGGTTACTGCCTCATTTCTGGCGCAAGTACGTATTGCGCAGCCTTGTGGACCCCCCTCTTTCCACCAAGCCTAACATCTTTTAGGCCTTTCTCCTTGCTTTCATTTGCTGGGTTCGGTTTATTCTTCTTCTGCGTCGCTGTCCTCGTCGATACAACATTCTACAACCCTTCTGCCTCGCTTTGGGACGCTGTTCACGCACCTATAATCACGCCCCTCAATAATCTGCTCTACAATAGCGACAAGTCCAACCTAGCTCTCCATGGCCTTCACCCTCGGTATCATCACTTTTTAGTCAATCTGCCGCAACTCCTGGGGCCAGCGTATGTGGCGATAATACTTTCTTTGGGCAAGTCGAAAGCAATTCAGTCTTCGCTAAAGAACATACGCGCCGTCTCTGCCATATCAGCAACCGCTATGCTTTCCTTGTTTCCACACCAGGAACCCCGGTTCCTGCTTCCATGCGTCCCGCTCCTCCTCAGTTGCCTCCGCGTGCGCAAATCGCGTCTTTTCTTGGCGGCTTGGGTGATTTTCAATGCCGCTCTAGGGTTCCTCATGGGAGTGTACCATCAGGGTGGCGTAGTCCCTACTCAGCTTGCGATCCCCTCAATCGTCTCCGATAGCTTCTTCGAGGCTGGTGCCAGCGACAACGCCCA